AGTGTAATTACTGACCCTCCCCAGGGATCAAGGTCCCCCCCCAGAGTGTAATTACTGACCCTCCCCAGGGATCAAGGTCCCCCCCCCAGAGTGTAATTACTGACCCTCCCCAGGGATCAAGGTCCCCCCCCCAGAGTGTAATTACTGACCCTCCCCAGGGATCAAGGTCCCCCCCCAGAGTGTAATTACTGACCCTCCCCAGGGATCAAGGTCCCCCCCCCAGAGTGTAATTACTGACCCTCCCCAGGGATCAAGGTCCCCCCCCCAGAGTGTAATTACTGACCCTCCCCAGGGATCAAGGTCCCCCCCCCAGAGTGTAGGATCAAGGTCCCCCCCAGAGTGTAATTACTGACCCTCCCCAGGGATCAAGGTCCCCCCCCCAGAGTGTAGGATCAAGGTCCCCCCCAGAGTGTAATTACTGACCCTCCCCAGGGATCAAGGTCCCCCCCCAGAGTGTAATTACTGACCCTCCCCAGGGATCAAGGTCCCCCCCCAGAGTGTAATTACTGACCCTCCCCAGGGATCAAGGTCCCCCCCCCCAGAGTGTAATTACTGACCCTCCCCAGGGATCAAGGTCCCCCCCCCCCCCCCAGAGTGTAATTACTGACCCTCCCCAGGGATCAAGGTCCCCCCCCCCAGAGTGTAATACTGACCCTCCCCAGGGATCCCCCCCCCCCCAGAGTGTAATTACTGACCCTCCCCAGGGATCAAGGTCCCCCCCCCAGAGTGTAATTACTGACCCTCCCCAGGGATCCCCCCCCAGAGTGTAATTACTGACCCTCCCCAGGGATCAAGGTCCCCCCCCAGAGTGTAATTACTGACCCTCCCCAGGGATCAAGGTCCCCCCCCAGAGTGTAATTACTGACCCTCCCCAGGGATCAAGGTCCCCCCCCCAGAGTGTAATTACTGACCCTCCCCAGGGATCAAGGTCCCCTCCCCAGAGGTAATTACTGACCCCCCCCAGGGATCAAGGTACTGACCCTCCCCCCCCCCCAGAGTGTAATTACTGACCCTCCCCAGGGATCAAGGTCCCCCCCCCCCCCCAGAGTGTAATTACTGACCCTCCCCAGGGATCAAGGTCCCCCCCCCCCCCAGAGTGTAATTACTGACCCTCCCCAGGGATCAAGGTCCCCCCCCCCAGAGTGTAATTACTGACCCTCCCCAGGGATCAAGGTCCCCCCCCCCCCCCAGAGTGTAATTACTGACCCTCCCCAGGGATCAAGGTCCCCCCCCCCCCAGAGTGTAATTACTGACCCTCCCCAGGGATCCCCCCCCCCAGAGTGTAATTACTGACCCTCCCCAGGGATCAGAGGTCCCCAGGGATCCCCCCCCCAGAGTGTAATTACTGACCCTCCCCAGGGATCAAGGTCCCCCCCCCAGAGTGTAATTACTGACCCTCCCCAGGGATCAAGGTCCCCCCCCCAGAGTGTAATTACTGACCCTCCCCAGGGATCAAGGTCCCCCCCCCAGAGTGTAATTACTGACCCTCCCCAGGGATCAAGGTCCCCCCCCAGAGTGTAATTACTGACCCTCCCCAGGGATCAAGGTCCCCCCCCCCCCCCCCAGAGTGTAATTACTGACCCTCCCCAGGGATCAAGGTCCCCCCCCCCCAGAGTAATTACTGACCCTCCCCAGGGATCAAGGTCCCCCCCCCCAGAGTGTAATTACTGACCCTCCCCAGGGATCAAGGTCCCCCCCCAGAGTGTAATTACTGACCCTCCCCAGGGATCAAGGTCCCCCCCCAGAGTGTAATTACTGACCCTCCCCAGGGATCAAGGTCCCCCCCCCCAGAGTGTAATTACTGACCCTCCCCAGGGATCAAGGTCCCCCCCCCCCAGAGTGTAATTACTGACCCTCCCCAGGGATCAAGGTCCCCCCCCCAGAGTGTAATTACTGACCCTCCCCAGGGATCAAGGTCCCCCCCCCCAGAGTGTAATTACTGACCCTCCCCAGGGATCAAGGTCCCCCCCCCAGAGTGTAATTACTGACCCTCCCCAGGGATCAAGGTCCCCCCCCCAGAGTGTAATTACTGACCCTCCCCAGGGATCAAGGTCCCCCCCCCCCCAGAGTGTAATTACTGACCCTCCCCAGGGATCAAGGTCCCCCCCCCCAGAGTGTAATTACTGACCCTCCCCAGGGATCAAGGTCCCCCCCCCAGAGTGTAATTACTGACCCTCCCCAGGGATCAAGGTCCCCCCCCAGAGTGTAATTACTGACCCTCCCCAGGGATCAAGGTCCCCCCCCAGAGTGTAATTACCCCCCCCAGAGTGTAATTACTGACCCTCCCCAGGGATCAAGGTCCCCCCCCCAGAGTGTAATTACTGACCCTCCCCAGGGATCAAGGTCCCCCCCCAGAGTGTAATTACTGACCCTCCCCAGGGATCAAGGTCCCCCCCCAGAGTGTAATTACTGACCCTCCCCAGGGGATCAACCCCACAACAACCTGACTAACTCCTGGGTGACTGTTTACTGCTGGGTGGACAGGGACATCAGGTGATAGGAAACGCGCCCAACAACTTCTGTCTCGCCGGGAATATATACAAGAAGGGGTACCCAGCGGTGCCTGGGATAGTCTGTCTCTCCCCCTACCCTTATTGTCTCCTCTCCTCCCTCTTCATCCCGTATCCTGCCCCTCCCCTTCCTCCTTCCTCTCCCCCATCCCTCTCTTACCTTCCACCTCAACACTTTCCTCCTTATCCCTCTCTCCACCACTCACCCACATCCCCCTCTCCCATCTTTTCCCTCTTCCTCTCCCCTCTTCTCCATCTGTCCCATCTGTCCCATCTTCCCTCTAACCTCCAACTGACAAACATTTCGATTTAATATATATATATATATATATATATATATATATATATATATATATATATATATATATATATATATATATATATAACTGAAAACTCACACCCCAGAATCAGTTGCATATGTCCTGGGGACCATTCAGGCTTGTTCGCATATATATATATATATATATATATATATATATATATATATATATATATATATATATATATATATATATATATATATATATATATATATATATATATATATATATATATATATATATATATATATATATATATATTTTACCAAATTCAATTTCATGTGAAAAATTTAGTGAATCGACCAGATTTTTTAGAAGTGTCAATATTGGGTTTTATCCCATCTCAGTTAGTGCCGTCTTACCGCATGGGCCAGGGGCCCCCACGAGCATAGGGGCCCCACGAGCATAGGGGCCCCACGAGCATAGGGGGCCCCCACGAGCATAGGGGCCCCACGAGCATAGGGGCCCAACGAGCAAAGGTGCCCCACGAGCATAGGGGCCCCACGAGCATAGGGGCCCCACGAGCAAAGGTCCCCCACGAGCATAGGGGCTCCACGAGCATAGGGGACTACGAGCATAGGTGCCCTACGAGCATAGGGGCCCCACGAGCATAGGGGGCCCCCACGAGCATAGGGGCCCCACGAGCATAGAGGCTCCACGAGCATAGGGGACTACGAGCATAGGGGCCTCACGAGCATAGGGGACTACGAGCATAGGGGCCCCACGAGCATAGGGGCCCCAAGAGCATAGGGGCCCCACGAGAATAGGGGCCCCACGAGCATAGGGGACTACGAGCATAGGGGCCCCACGAGAATAGGGGCCCCACGAGCATAGGGGCCCCACGAGCATAGGGGCCCCACGAGCATAGGGGCCCCACGAGCATAGGGGCCCCACGAGCATAGGGGCCCCACGAGCATAGGGGCCCCACGAGCATAGGTGCCCCACGAGCATAGGGGCCCCACGAGCATAGGGGCCCCACGAGCATAGGGGACTACGAGCATAGGGGCCCCACGAGAATAGGGGCCCCACGAGCATAGGGTCCACACGAGCATAGGGGCCCCACGAGCATAGGGGCCCCAAGAGCATAAGACATGCTCATTATGGAAGCAGACTGTTTAAATATTTAGGTCTTGTTGCAAGCACACTTATATAAGTTAACCCAACATCCTGGTGTGGGACTAAATATTATATATTTAAGATATATTTCCAGGTGAATAAACCTTTCAGCTGAAATGAAACGTAATGTTTTGAGTGGAGCACAGAAGAGGAAGAGGAAGAGAGCTGCAGAGGAGAAGGAGAACATTGGAAAACTTCCAAAACTATCATCGTGGCTCAACACAGGTGCAATGACAGCCACTCAAACCATTCCTTCAGATATACCATCCACATCAGCATCCACTCCTGCAGTGTCAGCCACTAGTACTCTTCCTTCAGATATAGCATCCACATCAGCATCCACTCCTGTAGTGTCAGCCACTAGTACTGTTCCTTCAGATATAACATCCACATCAGCATCCACTCCTGCAATGTCAGCCACTAGTACTGTTCCTTCAGATATAACATCCACATCTACATCCACTCCTGCAGTGTCAGCCACTAGTACTCTTCCTTCAGATATAACATCCACATCAGCATCCACTCCTGCAGTGTCAGCCACTAGTACTCTTCCTTCAGATATAGCATCCACATCAGCATCCACTCCTGTAGTGTCAGCCACTAGTACTGTTCCTTCAGATATAACATCCACATCAGCATCCACTCCTGCAATGTCAGCCACTAGTACTGTTCCTTCAGATATAACATCCACATCAGCATCCACTCCTGCAGTGTCAGCCACTAGTACTGTTCCTTCAGATATAACATCCACATCTACATCCACTCCTGCAGTGTCAGCCACTAGTACTGTTCCTTCAGATATAACATCCACATCTACATCCATTCCTGCAACCATCATCCAGTTTCAGCAGACATGCCATCATTGCTTGTTGCTGCTGCTGGTGACATTTTACAAGAGGAAATACCCAAAGCTGTAACAGTAAAGGAGTTTGTAATCCAAGAGACAGATCCGGGACTGTGGAACATTAATGATACTAACACAATAGATTACTGGATTCGTAGTGGGCCCTCATCATGTTAGAATCATAATAGCAACCTTACAAACTCCAGCAGAATGTATAAAACAGCTGGAGCAGAGAATATGAGGGAAAGGTGTTTATCAAACAATGTGTTCAAACGTGAACTGCGGAATAGCGAGTATGTAAAACGTGAATGGCTACTCTATTCACCATCCCAAGGTCGTTTGTACGGCTTTGTATGTCGCCTATTGTCCAAGAAAGAATCTCCCTTTGCTACAATGGGGTTTAGTGACTGGAAGTCCAGCAATGTTATTGTAGAACATAAAATTGGAGAAGAACATCGAAAGTGCATGACAGCATATATGATAAGGCATAAAGAAACTGGAAGTGAAGATTCTTTATTGCTTGAGCAACATGGCTCAGAGCAGGAATATTGCCATAAAGTGTTGACACGTGTGGTTTCCGTAATTCGCTTTCTTGCCTCAAGAGGTTTGGCATTTTGTGGAGAAAATCAGATTATTGTGTCAGCAAAAAATGGCAACTATTTAGGAATACTGGAGCTGCTGAGTGAGTTTGATCCTTTCCTGGAAGATCATCTCAAAATGTATGGAAATCCTGGAAAAGGAAATCCGTCATATTTATCTGCAAATAGTTGTGAGGAATTTATTTAATTAATTGGACAACTGGTTTTTTGCACTATTCTTGAATAAGTAAATGAGTCAAAGTATTATTCGTTAAGTGAACATTCCACTCCAGACATCTCGCACACAGATCAACTGACATTTACTGTCTGATACATTAAAGGCTGTGAGTCTGTGGAACGTTTCTTGATGTTCATCTCCATCTTTTCTCACGGAGCAAAGGATCTAACAGACACTGTCGTGGATTTTCTTAACGAGAACAAAATTCCATTATCAAACTACGGTAGTCAGTCATACGATAATGTCTCAAATATGTCTGGACGATATATTGGACTGCCAACACGGATTCATCAACTCAATGAGTTTGTCATCTATGTCCCCTGTGCTGGACACAGCCCGAACTTGGTGGGAGTAGAAGCAGCAGAGTTGTCTACTGACTGTCAATTTTTTGACTTTGTTCAGCATCTGTTTTTAATTTTTGCTGGTTCTACTCATCCTGGATTGTTTTGAAGTCATCTTTAGATGATGTCATGCATCTTTAGATGATGTCAAAATCTAAGGTTTAAATCTAAAAATCAAAATCTCAACCACAGGGATTTTGTGGTGAAGCGTCTGTGTGAGAGACGATGGTCAGCACATAGTGATGCTGTTCATGCTCTGTATGGGAGGTTTAGAGAATATAAAACAGGCGCTGGATTCTCTATCAGCTGACAATGACCAGCAAGTGAATACAAGGCGAGAGGCAGAAGGATTGAGCAAAATAATGGAAAACCTGGAAATAATCTTTCTAATAATTCTTTGGAATGACATGCTAGAAAGAATGAACAAAACAAACAAGGTCCTACAATCAAAGGATGTTATCTTAAGAGGTTATCTTTTATGATTTCGGGTGTTAGCGTCGCCGCGGCCCGGTCCTCGACTGGGCCTCCTTTTTGTTACACATCCCCAGGAAGCAGCCCGTAGGAGCTAACTCCCAAGTACCTATTTACTGCTTGGTGAACAGGCGCATCATGGTAAAAGAAACTTATTTGTTTCCGCCTCCACCGGGTTTCGAACCCGTTACCTTGGGACTACGAATCCCGAGCGTTGTCCACTCAGCTGTCTGGTCCATGAACAAGGATGTGAACATCCTTGTTGCCACGAATCTTCTTGAGTCTATAAAATCTATCTTCAGGAAACAAGAGACAAACTTAGTGAATATAAACTCAAGTCAGGAGTATGTGTCCAGATACAGATTACAGTGATGGGAAAAAACGGGAAGGAAAACGAGGTGTGCGTCTTAGTAGATATGACGGATCAACAGAAGAAGAACTTCTAATGAAAATCCACAAATTCAAGGTGGAAACTTTCCTCCCTATTCTGGCCACTAATCTTTGAACTGACAAAACGTGCAGAGGCTTATTCACAGATTGGAAATCTGTTTTCTTTCTTCAGTGAATTGAAAACCATTGCTTCTGATGCTCTAAATATATGTTGAATATTATCGACCATTTACTTAATATTCCTGTGTGTGTGGTTGTCGTAGGGGCCCCAGTACTCTGGTTGTCCCAGGGGCCCATAATGCTGTTAAGACGGCCCTGATCTCAATAAGACTAACTGGACCGACTCCGACCAGCCTATGGCTGTCCAGTACCCCAGACTATTTCTCCTGCAATGTTGAGTGAGATTAGCCACAAGCGTCAGGCCTCCAGCCTTGGCTAGACATACAGATATTTTCTATTATAGATATAGATACTAGATGGGGCACCCGGCTGTGCCTGGGTCTCCCCTCCCTTACCTCATCTTCTGCTCCATTCTCGCTCTTCCTCCCTTCCCTCTCTCATGTCTCTCTCCCAATTTCCTATCCTTCTCTCCACCTTTTACCCACTTCCACTCAACATCGTTCCCACTTCCATTCTCCCTTAAAAATCTCCCCTACTCACTTCACCCCTCTCCATCTTTCTTCCCCTCTCTCCTTCTTTCTCTTCCAAAGTCACCCCCATCTCCCCCATTCTCTTTCGGCCCCTGTCTATCTATGTATCGAGATAGATAGATAGATAGTTCTAGAGAGAGAGAGAGAGACCCGGGCACCGTCGGGTTTCTCATCTAGGATATTACAAAAAATTATGACATAATTACTGCTATTAACTTAATCAATGACGATAGATATAATTGTTTGAGGCACTTAACACTTCACACACTATTTTCCTCCATAACTTCACTACAACACTGTCCACACACCTGCCAGTCCTCCATACAGCAGGGAAAGGTACACTTAACACTTTCTTCACCGATAACTTCACTACAACACTGTCCACACACCTGCCAGTCCACCATACAGCAGGGAATCAACACACTGTACGTGTTTGTTTCTCCAAGAAGTACCAATAAATCACCTAAAGTTCTACACTGACACAACCCATTGTACTGTCTCGTATATAAATAAATCTGCTGCCCGTTCTCACTCGTAAAAATGTTCAATACTTTTGTTGATACATTTACGGCGACCAGCCAGGATATGACGCCTGCAGGCTCCAGATACCAGTGATTGCACCATCACGCAGCCTTGTTTGCTCATCACACGGCGTTATTATTATTATTATTTCACCAGGGAATATTACCACTATTTACCATTACGTGTAATATCAAACGGTAGAGAATGTACACACAGGGGCAGAGTATATTAGTGTAAGTATGAGTACACACGCCCGCTGGCTGGGAGGTCCGGGGGAGCACCTCCTCTACTGACACACACTCCCTCTGTGGGGCCCCTGCTTGGCCCCGCGCCTCCAGTGCGCATGCGTCACCTCCCGTCTCTTCTCAGTAGGTTGTGCTTGCGGGGGTTGAGCTTCGGCTCTTTGGTCCCGCTTCTCAAGTGTCAATCTACTGGTGTGCAGATTCTTGATTCTTCGGCTCTCTCAAATCTACATTTGAAACTGTGTATGGAGTCAGTCTCCTCCACATCACTGTCTAATGCTTTCCATCTGACACTGAAAAAAATATTTCAAATGTCTCTGTGGCTCATTTGGGTACTAAGTTTCTACCTGTGTCCCCTTGTTCGTGTTCCACACGTGCTAAATAGTTGGACCTTGCCCCACCCTGTCAGTTCCTGAGAATTTTGTAGGTGGTGATCATGTCTCCCCCTACTCTTTCGTCATCCAGTGACGTGAGGTGTAGCTCCTGTAGCCTTTCCTCGTAGCTCATATCACAGTTCTTGGACTAGTCTGGTAACATACCTCTGGATCTTCTCTAACTTTGTCTTGTTTAACTAGATATGAACTTAATGCTGGAGCTGTATGTCCACTACATGTACATACTCCACTACATGTCCACTACATGTACATACTCCACTACATGTACATACTCCACTACATGTACACTACATGTACATACTCCACTACATGTCCACCACATGTACATACTCCACTACATGTCCACTACATGTACATACTCCACTACATGTACATACTCCACTACATGTCCACTACATGTACATACTCCACTACATGTCCACTACATGTACATACTCCACTACATGTCCACTACATGTACATACTCCACTGCATGTCCACTACATGTACATACTCCACTACATGTCCACTACATGTACATACTCCACTACATGTCCACTACATGTACATACTCCACTACATGTCCACTACATGTACATACTCCACTACATGTACGGGCAACATAAATCATCCACTAGACAGTGTGACACTGTAATTGCCAGAATTAGGCTGGGATATCTATATCTATGGCAGGTGGCTGCAGGTAATGAATCCCCCAATGGTGAACATTCCAACTGTAAACTGTGAACAAGAGCTGGGACATACTCTCCAACACTATATCTGTGATTGTCATGTTATCAATAATTTCAGACCAAATGGTATGAGGTACTTTGAGCTCTGTAACTACTTCATACACTCAGGAATATTGGAAGATATTCATGTGCTCTACCCAGAGTGTACTAGTGCAGGCTAATAGATCAGCCTCGCATATGATGTTGTCTCCTGATTCATATATGACTAACCATCCTGTGAGATGGGGATATTAGATGAACTTGTCTTTGGTCTACACTGTGTAATCCCTCATATAGAATAGTGTAGCAGCACATTGCTGTGTATACTTTGCTTTGGGGTCATTGGAAACAATTTTGTCTTGTATCAATAAATAGACTGACCCATAATGTAATTGATACAAGACCTCAGTAGAAATGTAAATAAATAAATAGATAATTTAGGTAAAAGTACATACATACATATTGACATATTGAGATATGTATGTATGGATATATATGTATGATATGGTGGATTTCTGGATAGAGTTATTATATACTATGCCTAATGCCTCTAATATGCACAGCGTTTCATAAAAGATGTGGGAAAAACATTGAAAAACTAAGACTTAAGACTAAATGAGATCAAAAGCATGAAGTGAACTGAAGTAAATGAAAGAATTACCATAATTACATGTCGAATTAACAACAACAATTGCAACAGACGAGCGATAGTCATTTTGAATCAATAAACTGATGGACTACAATTTTCTTAAGTTTATACATGTCAGTTATTAGCAGTTTTACAAGTTAGTCATTAATGATGTTTGATAATAGGAAGACAGTGGTTGACATTTAGGAGGTAAGGAATGTTACATGGAGTCGATTAGGTAGTGCTTAGTGCTTCTCTTAAACTGGTTGAGAGATGGACAGTCTTTGACGTGATTGGAAAGGTCATTCCACATTCTGGGTCCCTTGATAAGCATAGCGTTTCTAGTTTAGTTAAGTCTCAATCTTCAATTATGAAGTAGATATTTGTTTCTAGTGTGGTGCCCCCAAGAGTTCTGTTACAACTCTTTAGGAAGCGTTTAAGGTCAGGATTGGCATTACAGTTCAGAGTTTAATATATATAGAGTACACATGAGAGGATGTGCAGTGACATAATATCTAACAAATTAAAAAATTTAAATAAATGTCCGAGTGCTGTCTAGAGCCAGAGTTTGTTATTGTTCTAATAGCTAATTTATATGGAGTAATTAGAGGACGAAGATAA